TGATAATAACTCTTTCAACCACTTGCCAATCAGAATCTTTTCCTTCTTTCCTTCCTTCCTTCATTCCCTCCCTCCCTTCTTTCTTTCTCTCTTTCCCTCCCTCCCTCCCTCCCTTCCCCCCCTCCCTCCCTCCCTCCCTCCGTCCTTCCTTCCTTCCTTCCTTCCTTCCTTCCTTCCTTCCTTCCTTCCTTCTTTCAAGTCTCACTCTGTTGCCCGGGCAGCAGTACAATGGTGTGACCTTGGGTCACTGCAACCTCCGCCTCCCAAGTTCAACCAATTCTCCTGCCTCAGCCTCTTGACTAGATGGGACTACAGGTGTGCACCACCACCCCCGGCTAATTTTTGTCTTTTTAGTAGAGGCAGGGTTTTGCCATGTTGGCCAGGCTGGTCTGGGTCTGGAACTCCTGACCTCAAGTGATCCACCTAGCTCAACCTCCCAAAGTGCTAAAATTACAGGCATGGGCCACTGCACCTGGCTAGAAAAAAATTTTTAAACTACTTAAGACCTAAAGGGCCCTGCCTTGTGGAACCAATATAAACCTTACACGTATTGATTGATACATTATGTCTCCCTAAAATGTATAAAAGCAAGCCACACCTGGACTGCCTTGGGCATATCAGGACTTCTTGAGGTGGTGTCATGGGTTCATCCTTAAGCTTGGCAAAATAAACTTTCTAAATTGACTGAAGCCTGTCTCAGATATTTTGGGCTCACCCATACTATAGAAACACAGTGTAAGAGAAATACTTTAACTCATTCCTATTAGAATTTGGCAGATTAGATGAAATTTAAATAAGAATATGGGGAAAATGAACAATACAACCAATAAACATATACTGAACTCTTCCCTCCACAAAGTATAGTATAGTGTAAAGTATAGTATAAATGACCAACAAGTCACAAAGAAAATCTCATGGGTCAAAAGAACAGAAATGAAGCTAAGAATTACTAGAGCAAGTTAAAGTAACAACAACAACAAAAAGGCCACTGTCAAGGGACAATGGAACCACCACTGCAAAATTGTAACTGAAGACAGTGACAGAGATCTGACCTAACCAGCTCCACCTTGCTTCTAACCTCCAAGCTGTCTTAGTTCATTCCTGGATGAAGGCTGAACTAACTTAGCAAGAAATTTAATTTATAGTTTAAGACTAAGATAATAGGCCTTTCCCAAGGAAAAAACCCACTTCTTGCTTGGGGAGTAGACAGTCTTTGTAGGAATAACAAATTAGCTAAAAGATAGAAATTATGGTTTGGGGCCAGAAGTGTTTGCTTGCATCTGTCATCCCAACACTTTGTGGGGCCAAGGCAGGTGGATCTCCTGAGGTCAGTAGTTCCAGACCAGCCTGGCCAACATGGTGAAATCCCACCTCTACTAAAAATACAAAAATTAGCCGGGCATGGTGGCATACACCTGTAATACCAGCTGCTTGGGAGGGTGAGGCAGGAGAATTGCTCAAACCTGGGAGGCGGAGGTTGCAGTAAGCCGAGATTGCACCACTGCACTCCAGCCTGGGTGACAAGAGCAAGACTCTGTTGTAAAGAAAAAAAAATTATGGTCTGGGGAGTCATGCACCTGGAGGCTACAAGATTCTGAACCTCCCTAAATTGCTCCTGGGGGTAACATCACTATTGTAAAACCTAAAGTCAGTGCTAGAGATATTTTGCAGATGCTGCACTTGATGGATCAGCTGGCACCACCCAGACTGATAAACTGACTCTGATTTTGTGGCCCCTACCTCAGAATTGACACAGTGCAATAAGACAGATTCCACCCTCTATGACTTCATCTCTGACCCAACCAATCAGCACTCCTGATTCACTGGCCTCCCCCAACCCACCAAATCATCCTTAAAAACTCTGATCCCCTAATGCTCAGGAAGACTGATTTGAGTAACAATAAAACTCCGGTCTCCTGCACAATTGATTCTGTGTGAATTACTCTTTCTCTATTGCAATTCCCCTATCTTGATAAATCAGGCCGTCTAAGCAGCGGGCAAGGTGAATCCACTGGGCAGTTACAACAACTGCCTACTATCTATTGTTCCCCTTATGCCCAGGACAAAATATTCTGTCTCTGATGGACAGGCTAAAACAAAAATACACATCAAACATTCTTTGCAGGAGCAACTTTCCAGAGGATTGGAGTCAGCTGAGCAACCCACACATCTCCTATTCTCTGCAGTTCATCATCTCCTCCTGTATTTGCTGCTCACTTCTTGGAGTTCAAGACCCTTCCTCTTTGTTGGGCAGAGGAGCTTCCCTTTTCCACATAGGACTTCTAGGCCTTGGAAGACTCAGTTACTAACCTAACTCCTTAGGAATATATTTTTTCAACAAAGTCATCTTTCATCTGCAGCATTATACTGATGATAGCCTTAGGAAGAAGCATTTTTTTCCCTACCTTGTTGCCCAAAACAGAAGACATTGAAAGAAACCAAGGAGAATTTAAATTGTTTCCTACAACTTTGTTCCCTACATGTCAATGGATTTGGAAGAGTACACTTAAGCCATTTAGACTTCTGGATCTTGGTGCTTGTTGCGATTTAATCACATCAGCTTAATGGGAAGAAAATTTTGTTTAGAGATAGTGAACAGCAGAGGTTTTAGAGTTAGATTAGTTGGCTCTGCTAATTCATAACTGACCTCAAGCCATCCACCCGCCTTGGCCTCCTAGCATGCTGGGATTACAGGCCTGAGCCACTGTGCCTGGCTGATTCTTTGCGATTGCTTGACACTTCAACAGGCTTTTCTGGAACACTGTTCTATAGCTCTAAAAATATAGATTATCTAATAAATAGGTAACTTCTACATTAACTTGCAACATTGTGAAAACCAAATGAAATATCCTATGAGGTAGTTCCTAGTGCAATCCCTCATATATCATCAGTCCTCAAGAAATACTGGTTGTTTCCCTTCCCGTCCATGTTACTCTATTTTTGTTGTTGTTGTTGTTGTTATTATTATTATTATTATTATTTTATTTTATTTGAGACAGAGTCTTGCTCTGTTGACCAGGCTGGCATGCAGTGGTGTGATCTTGGCTCACTGCACCCTCTGCCTCCTGGGTTCAAGTGATTCTCTTGCCTCAGCCTCCAGAGCAGCTGGGACTACAGATGCACCACCATGCTTGGCTAATTTTTTTATTTTTAGTAGAGATATTTTGCCATGTTGGCCAGGATGGTCTCAAACTCCTGCCCTCAAGCGATCCATCTGCCTCAGCCTCCACAAGTGCTGGGACTACAGAAGTAAGCCACCAAACCCAGCCACTATTGTAATTATTCTTTAAATGCCTATATGCCATACAAGGATGGGAACATCATGATGGATGGGGCTTATTTCACTTATACATGTTATAAATACAGACTTGCCACATACTCTAAATAAATAGGTAATTTCTATGTTTAGCTATTGTTAGTATGTTTAAACCAGGATTAGTGATTTATTGAAAGATTCCTTAATGTGATTCTTCAACAATCATTGTGTTACTATTATTGTATGATAGACATTGGAGACAAAAATAATGGTGAGCAAAATAAAAGACGCTGTCTCTGCTACTCCTTTAGAGGGGAGATAGATATTATGTCATAAAATAATGTAAAATTGAATTGTGATCAGTGCTGTAAGAGAGGTACACTGTGAAATAATAATGTGGTTGGCGAGATAAACGTTAGAATAAAAACAGCCCAGCAAGACCCTATCTTATTAACGTATTTCCCATTGGTCTGTCATGTCACTATATTCTATAATAGTCTAATCCACTTCTTTGCAGTTTCTCTTAAGTTACAAAAACTCTTGGGGCAATGCTTCTTTAAAATGAACCTCTTCTGGCCGGGCGCGGTGGCTCAGGCCTGTAATCCCAGCACTTTGGGAGGCCGAGGCGGGTGGATCACGAAGTCAAGAGATCGAGACCATCCTGGTCAACATGGTGAAACCCCATCTCTACTAAAAATACAAAAATTAGCTGGGCATGGTGGCGCGCACCTGTAGTCCCAGCTACTCGGAGGCTGAGGCAGGAGAATTGCTTGAACCCAGGAGGCGGAGGTTGCGGTGAGCCGAGATCACGCCATTGCATTCCATCCTGGGTAACAAGAGCGAAACTCCATCTCAAAAAAAAAATGAACCTCTTCTTAGGCAAGAAGTTGGGTGTAGGCAGAAGAAGAAAGCTGCTACTGGTTTTCTTACCCATCGTCTACTAATATGTTGGTACTAATTATCTTTTCAGAATGGTTTACTTTTATTTTATTTAATTTATTTTTGAGACAGGATCTTGATTTGTCACCCAGGCTGGAGTGCAGTAGTGTAATCTCGGCTCACTGCAACCTCTGCCACCCAGGTTCAAGCGATTCGCCTGCCTTAGCCTCCCCAGTAGCTGGGATTACAGGCATGTGCCACCAAGCTCCTTTAATTTTTATATTTTTAGTAGAAACGGGATTTCACCGTGTTGGCCACGTAGGTCTCGAATTCCTGGCCTCGAATGATTCGCCCGCCTCAGCCTCCTTAAGTGCTGGGATTACAGGCATGAGCCACCACTCCAGGATACTTTCATTTTAAAAAGGCAAATGAGTCAAAGAACAATTGAGTTCAGTGACGTTTGTGAAATCCTGGAGGCTCAAATCCCTAGGTAGATGGGGAGCAGTCGGAATCAGTGGGCTAGTGAGCCAGGGTGAACCCCAGTCAGGGTATTGAAACTTGAACCCGAAGAACATAGGTTTCATCGAATCACAGAGTGGTGATATCGAAGAAAAAAAAACACTTTACAATTTTATCTATGCTGAGAGTTTCTCTAAATGCTCTCACACTGAGTATCTATGGCCCCTGTCTATTTAGAATTTCGTTGTATGGTAATACAAACAAACGATTATGTTTCCAGCCCATTAAGGGGAGAACTGGGTGTTACTTAATGAATTAGGGACATGTTAATTGGAAACTCCCGCTGAGTAACAGCTGATAGCAAGTTACGCCAGTCCTTTGCGCGATCCTTCTCTTTCTGACTTACCTGTTCCTGAAGTAGTACTCATTTCCTACAGCCAACGACCTAGCTTGCAGCAGGGCTAAAGTGGCCATGGTCTCTTGGCCTTGGCTTACAACTGGTGCCTACCGGTGTCCATGGTAACTGGGCTGAACCATAGCTCACTCCCGGGGTTCGATTGTTTGTTCACTCCTCTTTTCTCTGACGCTATTTCGACTTTAAAAGTACTAAAAAGAGAATTAAAAATTTTCTTTGCAGTACAAAAAGTTTGATTTATTTGTCTCTGTCTTTACTGCGAGTATGAAGAGGGGATTATAGGAAGGGAAAGCAGTAGGCGAGGAGAACTAATGGTTGCTCCCGGCATCCGGTTTCGGCCTCAGTCGGCTTCCGGAAGCTCATCTCAAAATGCTGAACTGTGTTTTGCAAGTCGCCGGTGCTGTCATAGTTGGAGTCTGTTCACGTGCCTGAGCCTCGAGGCCAGGCTCTTGGGTGTCGTTAGGGGCCGCCGGGCGCCAACCGATGGGAGCTCCAGCAGCCGGGAACAGCTGGTGAGTCTGGCGGCCCTTGGGAGGGGGATCTCAGGGAAAGGTATGATGGCCTGAGGCCGCTCCGCTGGACCTGGAATGGAAGCGGGAGGGAGCTGGGATGGATGGTCTGAAGACATCTAGGCCTTGCTCTCACTCATTCCTGAGATGCACGCAGTTTGAGGGAGCTTTTGAGAGTATGCCAAAAAATTGTGAAAGAATACAGTAAAGGTTTGCTGATTGCTTAGCAATATTTTGGAAGTCATGCTTCCCGTAATCCCAGGAGCGGTTTTATCTCCTCATTGATTGTTGGCAAAACAAGGGACAGGAAGAATTTATCTTAATCTGGGCCTTATTCCCCACTCCTCTTTCAAAATTCACCAATTTATACTAAGTCTCTTGGAAGATAAGTTCAATAATGGAAAACACATCACTCTCTCACCCCCTTTTTTGGAGCGGGGGGAACTACTTCCACCCTCTTGAACATTCTAAGTTCAAATGAGACGTGTATGGGGGTGTTCCAGGAACTAATTTTACAACCGTTAGGATTAAGTTTGGGGCTTGACTATGTCTATGGTATCATGTCACCAGTGCCACATTAGAATAATATATTGCTTTGACTTTAAAAGATATTTTCACCAATTAATACACTTATGACAGCCCTGTGATACCAGAATATCAAAAGCACAGAATATCCAAGTGTCTTGTCCACAGTTGCCCTGTACATTTTAATCCTAGAGCTAGGATCCTGGTTTTGGGATTTCTAGTTGAATACTGTAATATCTGTCCTGTTTTTCTCCCAAGCCCTTTTCTTCCAAACGCAACACAAGACAACCAGTGAAACAAACAATCAATTTCCTACGGAAAACCTTAAACATAAAGTTTTGACCAACAGGTGAAAGAAATGTGGCTAAACAGTGCATGTTCATTCCTAGATTCTGCAAAAATTAGAACATGAGGAATTCTAATAGTCTGTGATCTCAAGGAATTATTTTACATCACCTATCAATAAACAGTTATCCAAAATATTTTTAGTTAGGTCAGATCATCCTGTGGTTAAGTTTATAATGAATATAGATTTGATTTTACTGTTTTTAAATTATCACATTTTCTACTGAGAAAAGTAGGGAGCACTTTTTAAGTGAACCAATTTTTAATGGTGTAACTAGCATAATTCTTAAGTGCTTGATTTTATTAGTTTTGGCAATTGTATATACTTATATAACCACCTCGCAAAACGAGATAATGGACTTGCTCATCATCCCACAGTTCCCTCTCAAGGATACCTTTCTTAATGTTTCACCATTCATTATCTTTGTAAATCAGGGAGATAAAATGTCATCTGTAGATTGGTCTGCTCTTCCTAGGGTACTCTTGATTTGTAGGATAGGTGGACTGCATCAGAATAGGACTGATTCCCAACTTCTTCTGCCTTCCACATCGTGGTTAGCTACTGAGAGAAACCTCCTTCAATTCTCTTTTAAAGGCTCTCTTGTCATACAACCATTTCTTATGGCACCAGAGTATAACAAAGTGGTAGCACTTAGTATTTTTGAATGAAATTCTTAAAGTCATTCCTGTTTTGGCACAATGAACATGTTCCAAAAAACTGGAACTTTATTTTTTAGTCTGCCTGTATGACTATACAGTCATTCCAAATTCCTTAATGGAATTTTCTTTTTCATTAATTGGACAGATATTTACTATACAACATATATGTTTAATCCCAGTAATAAATTCCAGTCCCACTGGGAATACAACTACTAAGCAGTTAACTAGGTACCAGGTTTTACATGCATGTCTTGTCTCATGTAAATCTTTAGAGGTAGGTGTATCATTCTTTGTGTTTTAGATAAGGTGACACAGAAGCAAAGATGGTTTAAGTAACTGGCCTAAGTGTATCATATTTGCAGGATGATTCCAATATACCCCTCTTCCCAAAATTCTTAAAACACTTTTGTATATTGCCTATGTCTCTGAATGAGATACAATATGTAAACTAGCAGTTATATGCCCAGATTTATTAACCATTCTGGAATTTCTAACTTATTTAGCTCCCATCTTGACTTTCTCTTTTCTTTTTCATTTCATTTCTTTTTTTTTCTGAGAGAGAGTCTCACTCTGTTACCAGGCTGGAGTGCAGTGGTGCTGTCTAGGATCACTGCAGCAAACACCTCCTGGGTTCAAGGGATTCTCCTGCCTCAGCCTCCTGAGTAGCTGGGACTACAGGCACGTGCCATGACACCCCGCTAATTTTTGTATTTTTAGTAGAGACAGGGTTTCACCATGTTGGCCAGGATGATCTCGATCTCTTGACCTCGTGATCTGCCTGCCTTGGCCTCCCAAAGTGCTGGGATTACAGAGGTGCGCCCCCATGCCCAGCTCATCTTGACTTTTTCAACTTCTCCAATTTGGAGGTTGCTCTTTCCATTTTTAGGCACCAAGTGGGTAAACGTAGGTAATTTCTTTACTCAACTATGGTATTCTGGTTTTTTTAACTTTGTTATGTGGCATTGCTTTTTTAAAAAAGCTGTTAAGATAAACTATATTGACTCGATTTTGTTTCTGTATTTTCATTCCTATTTGGTATTTTGATTTTATTGAAATCTGAAAAATAGTGAAAGGTGTGCTTTTTTTTTTTTTTTTTTTACTTCCTTGTGTTTTGGAGTTTGTTTTGGACTTAGTTGCATACTGGCAGGTTTGAGTCAGGTTTTTGTTTCAACAGTTAAGATTCAAAGGAATCACCAGGATGATTTTGTTCAAGTAATTCATTCATTTTGGTATAGCTTCTTAGCATCCATATTTATGTCTGATGTCAAGCTGGAAACCTTTACATTGTGTTTGATAATTTTTCCTTAACTTCACATTTACTTAGCTAAAAACCTAGAGTGTCTGGCTTGTTAAAGTAGCAGAAAATTTGGAATATGGATTGTCTAAAAGTTTTAGTCATAATGTTTTTCTTTTGTTACTTGTTCAGTCATATTTAGTCATTCATTGGTTTGGTCATCTGGAAGATTATTTTTTCAAATCTCTTATGTGTCAAGCAGTATGTGGCTTGTAATTAATATTGTCTTCATTCTCATTCCTGTTATAGAAATTGAGGTTATTATATTTACTAAATTTTTATTAAATAGTTACAATGTATTAATGTAAACAATAAGACTCAAAATTGTAACAAATTTGTTAACAATTGTAGAAAGAAAATGTAAACAATTTTCTTTCTGCTATGTGCCTAATACATTTGAATATAAATATATATATATATATTGACAAGAGCTAGAATGAGTTATTTATTAAATTCTTAATTTTTTGTTTTGTTTACTTTAAACTGACTTTATTTCATGTAGGCAGTTTTTTATTCAGTAGTGTCCATTTTGAAAGTAATTAGAATGCAAGGAAAAGTTTGAATGACTCTTGAAGTCATTAAGTGAAGTAACAAAAATCGGAAGCATGGTCTTCAGATTTAAATAATAAATGAGCTTGCCTTACTAAATCACTAATTTGAAAACAAGGGTTAGACTTTCTTTTTCTTTTTTTCTTTTTTTGAGGCACAGTTTCGCTGTTGTTACCCAGACTGGAGTGCAATGGCGCGATCTCGGCTCACGGCAACCTCCGCCTCCTGGGTTCAAGCAATTCTCCTGCCTCAGCCTCCCGAGTAGCTGGGACTACAGGCGCGCGCCACCATGCCCAGCTAATTTTTGTATTTTTAGTAGAGACGGGGTTTCACCATGTTGACCAGGATGGTCTCGATCTCTTGACCTTGTGATCCACCTGCCTCGGCCTCCCAAAGTGCTGGGATTATAGGGGTGAGCCACCGCGCCCCGCCGACTTTCTTTTTCTTAAAGCCAATCATGGTTTGATTTTGAGCAAACCATGGTAAAGAGGAAAGAAAGTTTCCTGAAAGTTCCTATGGTGTCAAAGGTGACAAAGTAGAAACTGTGGGCAGCATCTGCAATTGAATACAAGTCAGTGGAGCTTTGCTTCCTTTCCACTTTTAACTGGGAAGATTTATTTAATCTTTTTAAATTTACATATGTATATTTTTAAGGTGGAAATAGGTCAGATTCACAGCATTATTATTATTATTATTATTATTATATATATATATTTTTTGAGACGAAGTCTCCCTCTGTCTGGAGTGCAGTGGCATGATCACTGCTCACTGCAACCTCTGCCTCCTGGGAACAAGTGATTCTCTTGCCTCAGCCTCCCTAGTTGCTGGGATTACAGGCTCACACCACCATGCCTGGCTAATTTTTCTTGAGATGAGATTTCACCATGTTGGTCAAGCTGGTCTCAAACTTCTGACCTCATGATCTGTCCTCCTCAGCCTCCCAACACCCGTGCTGGGATTACAGGCATAAGCCACCACGCCCAGCCAGCGTTAATTTTTTTTATTTTTTAAATTTGGGATTTAAAATTTTTCTTTAGCTCCATAGAGTCTTCAAGGAGTCCATGAACTTACTGAAATTATATGCAGCAATTTATAAATGTCTGCTATCCTTCCTTTTCCCAACATTCAGAATGCTTCATGACCTCAGAGAGGCTGAAGGTCTTTAACTATAATACCTTTAAGATTCCCAGTGTGGTTATACCTTAAAAGCAGAATAATTTGAGATCTTTTGGTGACCAGTTTCTCTTATTTGTGGGTAGAGGTTGTTGAAAGATGAAATAACTTCTCTTGAACATTAAGTACCCACTCTCATCCTCAGAAAAATCTTTTTGAGATAGGAATTATGCCCATTTTTATGATGAATAAACAATCAGAAGATAGGTAATTTGTCCAAAGTCCTATAGCTAATGAATATAACTGGAATTAACTTCCAAATTCATAGCTTCGATTCTAAGCTCATATTCTCTGTAGTTTCCTCCCAGCCTCTTTTTCCCTCAGGCATACTGTTTTTTATTTATTGCCTACTATTAAATGTAAACTTGTAATTAATTATTTACATGTTTCAGAATAGGATAATTCTCCCCTACCCCACCCTATCTTTTTTAAAGAGAGAAAACATTTAGTTTTGATT